CCCGACGGCAGGCACGGCTATAAATTGCTACAGCTGCGGCGCACTTCAACGCGCCTGTTGGGGCTGACCAAGAAAAAGAAGGGTCGGACGGGGGTGGCTTGGTGGGGGCTCTTGGAAGTTCTCGATCTGGTCAGCCCTTGCCTCGCCTCGGCAGGAATCGGAGACGCCGAGGGGCCACTCGGGCCGCGCGCTGAAGGAAGGTCTCCAGGACCCAGACAAGCGCCCAGGTCTCCTGGCCGACCTTTCCCAGGAGGTCGGCGCCGGGCTTGCTGGCGACGCGGCCAAGTCGAGACAGGCGTGGCAGGAGTGCGCTCAGTCGTCCGCGTTGAAGGGAGGCCGTATACACCTTGCGAAATGCTTAAGAAATCATGGGTTAAGAAATTCATAGTCTCAGAATTGGAATAAAAACCCAGAATGTCTATGGAAATCTTCGGAATTACGTTGAAACATGAAGAATAATCGAGACTCTGGCCAAAAACGCAAGTTTTCTTAAGCATCGCCTAGGGTGTATAGCCCGCCGTTTCAGCAGAGGCCCCAAGCCCACCCCTGTGCCCATCCTGGGGCCCCGTCGAGGAGGGGGGCCTCCCTCTGGCGGGCCACGGGGCCCCATGAGAAGCTCCTCGAGGAGGGGGCCCCGACTTGGGACCAGGAGTCGAGCACCCACGGGGAGCACACACGCTTCTGGGAGGGTTCCGAGCACGTTGGAGCCGATCTCGGCAGACGACGCCCGCTCTGCGTGCAGGTGCTTTGCTGAGGGCGCGGCCTGGGGCCGGGGTGGTCTCCACCCGCGGCTGCTGCTCCAGCTGCCCCCCGAGGCAGTGCAGAGGTTTGCAGATAATGCTCGATGCGTGGGAGCGCGATCCCAGGGGTCTCGGCGCTCTGGATGATCTTGATCGATGTCCTTGATAAACCGACGGGGGGCGTAAGACCTCGTTAAAGGCTTAACGACTTCTGCCGTCCTTCGACTCGCGCTGGAGCGGCCGCGAAGTGCTCGAACTTTCCCTGGAGATCTCTGGATTTACCTGGATTTACCCAGATTTATCTAGATTTACCTGGATTTACCTCGATTTATCTGCATTTACCTGGGTTTATCTGGCTCGATTCTCACAAGTCGATTGGCGAAAAGTCGACAAGCCCTTAGGGAAGACCGATCGGTTTGCTCCCACTTCTGGCCCGCGCGTGGTCGAAGGTCCGACAGGGGGCCCGCGGCGCCTGGGAGAGGGGGAATGCTTCGGACCTGTTTTGGGGCCGGTCTAGGGCTACCTCTTGCAGTAAGAGCGCGTGGATCCACAACGCTCTCCTGGCGTTTGCCAGGCTAAGGCGCCTGGCGCCTGGTTCAGCCATCTTGGATTTGATAAAGTGCTACGAGAACACATCTCACCTAAAACTCAGGTCCGCGGCGGCCCATGTGGGCTTTCCCGAGGGCCTCGCGCGAGGCTCATGCTGCCTTTATCGGGCGGAGTGACGAGCGGTTGCCCTGGGGGTCACCTGCAAACCTCTGGAAGCCAGCGGCACACCGCTGTTGCAGGCTGCTCCGGCGCGGCGACGACCTTGGCCAAGGCCCCGCTGCCGGCAATTCTCAAGAGAGACCATCTTGAGGCTCCTATCGCCAAGATAAAGAGTGCCATTGACGATGTGTCCTTCCACGCGGTCGGAGGGGAGGCGACAGTTTCAGGGCACGCAGGTTTGGCTTTCAGTGTCGCTGCTTCAGAGGCGCAGGCCAAGGGCCCCCCGATCTCGCTGCATAAGGCAGGCGTGCCGGCAAACTCTAATGCGCTCGCCAAGCTCACAGTAGAAGAGCTGCCCCCCGAGCTGGGCAACAGCAAGGAAGCGGCGCGCAGAGACCTGGTGGGGATGCTCCGGACGGGCGGTTTCGGAGGATATCGACTCACCCAGATCGGCACATAACTGCCAAGAGCAAGAGGCGCGCGATCAAATTACGCGCCCTCCAGGGGACGGGTGCCGCGACTTTTCGCATGCATCGCTCAGGTCCCACTGCGGTTGCCACGCGGGGCTCGTGCGTCCACAGCCTAGGCGACACCAGGCTCCGCGGCCTTGGAGTTCTGGCGGCCCACGCGGAGGGCAGATCCCCTCGGGGGTCTTCGGCGGGGCTTTACCTTGGTAGTGGGCATCAAGGTTGGAGGCGAGACCTACAGGCTCTGGGCATATCTTCTGCGCGGGCAGATTGTAAGGGTACACTAAGCTGCTGTCAATCTCCTGCCATGTCTATTTCCTCGTGCAACCCGCGAGCCCACCTGTGGAGGCAGGTGCACGTGCGCGAAGATTTCTGTGCTCAATGTCGAAAACCACACTTCGGCCGTGAATGCTGCGCGTGATCAGACTTCCGCGCTCGACCGTGACAGAAACTATGCTGCCGACAGTTTTGCGAAAAAAGGAGCGGCGTTGGCTCGGTCTGCTATCGCCGATGTTGAGCTGGTAAAAGGATGCCAGTTGATTGCGAAGCTTGCGGCCAAGTGTTCTGCCCAGTTGTCGGCCTCGATGGCCACGGCTAAGTTTCGGGACAGTGTCAGGGTAGAACACCTCAAGAAAATCGGCTTGGGGATTGTTAACTACCACGGTTTCGATATCCCTGATGTTCCTAAGACGGAGTCCAGTGATTCGGTCCTCCTTCCTCCCGAGCCTCCTGCTGGCGCTGCTGCTGGGATCATCCAGGGCCCGCCTCAGGGGATCCCGGGTGGCTTCAGGACAAAGGAGTCCAGCCATGGCGGGTGAATGGCCTTTGTGTGGTCCAGTGCTCGGTGCCGACTGACTCGCCGATAATCTATTGTCCGTCTTGCTGGCAGTATGCGACCACCCTGATGCAGCGAGGTCTCACTGGGACTTGCAAGGGGCCCAGGATGATCTCTGGGGGGTCAGCGTACACTGTCAGGAAAATGCTGTTAAAGAGGGCTGTCACCCTATTTTTGCACCCTCTGGTGGCGCTCGGGCCTTCAGAGGCCCCGACGGACGTGACCAGGGGCCATTTCTCCGGGCATTTCGGGGAGGTCCCTGTCGGGGCGGCTGTGGCTCCAAGAGCGCCGAGGGTCGCCCCATTTTCGAAGCAAGCCGTGGCTCCACGCCTCGGCATTGAGGCATTGATTCTGTGCTGCTCGCTTTTGGCTTCAGCTCCAGAGCAGAAGCTGAAAAGCTTGGTCGGCAGGTGCTCCTAGACCGGGCCTCTGCCCAGACCATGGCGGCGGGTGCCGCGGACCCAGAGGCTGAAGGGTGAGTTTCTGGGGGATGGGGGGCCCTGTCGGCTGGGCCCGGCCGAGGTGGGTCACAGCCTCGGGCGGGAACACAAAGTTCTCGTCTGAAGGGCGCCCCCACCCCAATGTTCCCCTCCCTCCCTTGATTCTCCCTCTGTGGGCGGTGAGCCTCCTCCTCCCATCAAGCTCAGCGCGACACCTCAGCGCATTGGCTGAAGCGCAAGACCCTAGCACAGCGAGCCCCGCCCCGGCGAGGGCAAGCGCCGGGCGAAGCGAAAACCCCCCGCGGGGGGGGCGAACCCTCGGCGAAGCGAGCCCCGCTGGCGGGGCGAACCCCTGGGAAAGGCGACACGGGCGAAGCGAACCTGTAGACAAAGCCAAAGGGGCGAGGCGAACTCCAGCGAAGCTAACACCCCCAGCGAAGCGAGCCCCGGCGGAGCGAGCCCCGGCGGAGCGAACCCCGGCGGAGCGAACCGTGGCGAAGCGAATGCTGGCGAAGCGAGACGGGCGAAGCGCACCCCGAAGCGAACCCCAGCGATTGCAAACCCCAGCGAATCATGCCTTAGCGAAACAGGCAAAGCGACACTGCAGAAGCGACCCCCCGCAAGACGAACCCGCACCCGCACCCCTCCACCTCCTCCACCCACGCCTCCACCCACCCCTCCACAATTACCACAAATGAGTACTACCCTTCTCCCCCCCGAAGACATCCTGAGGGCATTGCGCCCCCTCAGTACAGTGTTACTTTTTGCACACAGGGTTCTAACAGTATCCGAGACGTACCCAGCCCAATCTGCACGCGAAGCGACTATTTACGTGAACTCTGATTGAATTAAGAACATGTGCGAGATATGCAAAACTCGGGAAGGCCCCCCTGACTGACTCAAATCTGGGTCCGATGGACCACTGGGCGATCTCCCAGGATCCATCGCAAGTGCCGACAGTGTCGCCGCTCGCAGGATCTAGGAACGGCGAGGTCTCGATCTGGTTCGTGTGTGACGTCGCTCCGCTGAACCTCCCAGGAGCCCACGAAAGCGGCAACAGATCCGCGGTTCGCAGACCCCAGTGACGACGAGGTTTCATTATGATGTGCGTAGGACGTCACCATGCTGGACCCCCCAGCAGCCCTCGACAGCGGCGACAGCTTCGCATTTCGCAGCCCCCAGGGACAGCGAGGTCTCAATCGAATGAGCATAGGACGTCACTATGCTGGACCTAACAGCAGCCCTCGAATCTGGCGACGGTTTCGCAGTTCGCGGTTCCCAAGGACGGCGAGGTCTCATTCTGATGTGCGTAGGACGCCACAACGCTGGACCCCCCAGCAGCCCTCGAAACTGGCGACAGTTCCACAGTTCGCAGCCCCCAGGGACGGAGAAGTCTCATTCTGATGTGCGCAGGATGTCACGATGCTGGACACCCAAGAGCGACACTTCCGCAGCTAACAGTCACCCAGGGAAAGCGCAGGAGGAAGGGGGGGGCAAAGGAGAAGGAGTGGATACCACAGTGCTCAATTCGAAACGAGAACCCAAAACAGGAGGGTTGGGACAAAAATACGTGTTTCTTTCTCGGTGTTTCAGAACAGCGCGTTAGAGAAGGACGCCGGCTAGGCCCGCAACGTCAAAATGCGCCTACCGCCTAAACATCTTTATAGACGTCGTCGGGATTTCGAGGCCTTCGGACCATCCGTCACCAGCCAGTTTCAGAACCGCCGAGCCTGGAGACTGGGGCAGGTAGAACATCGCACACCGCTCCAGGCAGCCGCTCGGCAAAAGGGCTCCAGACGAAACGCAGCTGATGGGAAAAGACAGGTTCCAACAAGTGGCACGCGTGCTCCGGCTCTTGCACCAAGGAGCTGCGAGGGACAGGAGGCTTTCGCCTCCATCCTCCAGGAGATGCCTTCCGTGGCCGGGGGGGAGAACGAACGACAAACGAACGAACGAACGACGACAAAAATAAAGAGGTCCGAGCTCTAGAACACAGCTGTGCAAGACAATGAAAGCTCCGAAAAACTGCACCACTACAAGAGAGCGTGCCGGGGCCACCCCTCCCACCGTCACCTGCAACCCCTGCATCGCGCACGGCTCCGTCGAGAACGGCCTGATGTAGGAGCCGGGCACCACGTCTGCCTGCCAGGGCTCCCGCCTGACGACGGGTTCGGCGACGGGATCCGCAGTACCGTCATCCTGCAGCTCTTCGTTGCCTTCGTCGTCGTCCTCCACCTTCTCACCATCTCTCCCTCCCCCCTCTCCTCCTCCTCCTCCTCCTCCTCCTCCTCCTCCTCCTCCTCCCCTCCTCTCCTCCTCCTCCTCCTCCTCCCCCTCCTCGTCCTCCTCCTCCTCCCTCCTCCTCCTCCTCCTCTCCTCCTCCTCCTCCTCCTCCTCCTCCCTCCTCCTCCTCCTCCTCCTCCTCCTCCTCCTCCTCCTCCCTCCTCCTCCTCCTCCTCCTCCTCCTCACTCGCATATTGACCGACCTTCTCCTACTAATCCTCCTCCTCCCTCCGTCCCTCCCCCTCCTGCTCCTCCTCATCCTGATCCTCATGATCCTCCTTTCCCTCCTTGTCTTCCTCCTCATGCTCTCCCGGCAATGGCGCTTCCTATAGAATGGCGAAGTCAGCTGCTGCCAGGGGTCCTCAGCAAAGCCAGCTCGAGCTGGAAGCCGCCGAGAGAGAGAGAGAGACAATGGGAACGGAGTTGGCGTGTCTTCAGGTCCTTTGCCGAATCCTCTCAGCCTCAATCCTTACTCCTGAGGAGTCTTTGAGGGGCCCGGACTCCAAATTGCCAAATCTCCCAGGGTTTGTCGCGTGACCCCTTGGCTTCAGGAAGTGTTGTCGCACGAGTAATTAATGATTCAGGCCCAAGAAGGTCCGAAGACGGGCCAAGAGGCACAGAGAAGCCCCCAAGACGGTCCAAGAGGGCCCCGAATCGCCGAACGGTTCTTCCAAGACGCCCAAGATGGCCCCCAGAGCCCAAACAGCCTCCAAGACGCTCAAAGTGGCCTGCAAGAAGCCTCCCAAGAAGGGCCCATGAGGCAATAATCAGTGTTTGTTCTTTGGTTATTGCAGGATTGGGGGGTTCCCGTTTTGTCGGTTTTCCCGACGCTCTCAGACGGCTCTAGAGGCCCCAAGACGGCCCCAAGACGGCCCCACAACTGCCCAAGAGACCTTCAAGAGGACCCCAGAACGGCCAAAGAGGGCCCCAAGACACCCCAAAAGGCGGCCCAAAGGGGCCCCAAGGAGGCCCCAAAACGGGCCCCAAAGAGGGAACACGAACTGAAAATCCTAGCCTTCCGCCCCAAGAGGCCCCCAGGAGGCCCCAAGAGGCGTTCAGGAGGCCCCAAGAGGCCCCCAAGAGGCCTCAAGAGACCCCCAAGAGGCCCAAAAGAGGTCCCAAGAGGCCCCCTCAAAAAAAAACGGCGTCCGAAGTGCTTCCAAGAGGCCCCCGAGATGCCCCCCAAGAAATCCCAGCGAACATCCAACAAGCTTCGTACCCACAACCCTGGCACGGTGGCGGGATTGGGCCGAAGGCCGTCAAACATTTGAGGTTTGTTGCGAAGGCCCTTCGGCTGTGGCCTGCCGCAGTCCACAAGGCCAGGCCCGAAAGGACTTGAAAAGCCAGAGAAAAGCCGCAGCCCGCCAGGTGGGGCGGCGGCTGGTGCCCCCCAGGGAAGCGCCCCACCCCCCCCTCCTCCGAGGCCCCGAGCTCCCGAGACATGTTAACCCAGGAGGGCTCACCAGCGGCATGATCCAGGAAGCAGGTGGTCCTGCGCGGCATGCAGTTGAGGGAGCGAGAGAGTGCGCGCCACCAGGCGCAGGGAGCTCCGCCCGGGATATTGCGAGCACTGCTCTGTCACGATCGCCAATCCCCGCCATCACGACATCGACATCCAATAATACAAGTCACAATTGTGCAATCCATAATCCGGATAGCAGCGCAGTCTAGGCCCGACAAGCGTGTAGGAGACGCTTGCCAGGAAGCGCCACAGGATGCCGGGCAGCCTGAAAGCTTGAGGGGCACGCTCGGCTTGGAATGCAAGCTGCGGACGATCCCAGGAAGCGAAGGAGCCGCGCAAAGGTTTGCGGCACGCGCATTGGGAACGAGTCGGAAAACGCGTGCGGGACAAGCTGCAGCCAGTAGCAACTCGCTGCGGGGATGCCTGGCCGTCAGCCGGGGAGAGGAAGCTCGCCTACCCTTTTCCCGCCAGCTTCTTCTCGAAAGCCCCAGTTCACACTCAAGGAGCCGTCTGGGAACAGGCCGCTCTACCAGAACAAACATCCCATGCTCAAGAGCAGGGTGGAAGTCCAGGAGGGCCGCTCCAAGTATGGGGCGCAAAAGGTGGGCCCCAAGAGTTGGGCGAGAAAGCTCTCCCGCAGGTTCCTGGGGGCGAGGAACGGCAAAGCGGTGCTCACGACGCGAAACTGCACGAACTTCACCGTCTGCCCTTCCACCGCGCGGCGTCGACCCTCCGGGCCGGGTCCGTTCGCGAGCGCGGCCCGCACATCTCCCCGGCCCGGCCGCGCCCGCGCCCGCGTTTCTTGCGCGGCCCGCTAGAGGGGCCCCGTTTGACCCCGCGCCACCCACGGGTGAGCGCGCAGCTCGCCTGGCAGGACTTCCACACCGGGCACGTCCCACGCCTCAGGCGCTTCGCACAGAATCTGCAGATGACGCAGCGTGCAAAAATCAGGCTCCCGGGCGATCCGCCCCCGCGCCAGCAGGTCACAGGGGAGGACATGAACCGCCGATTCGCAACCCCTCCTGGCGGCAGGGCCCCGCACGATGAGCCCATTCAGAGTTCTTCTCCTCCGACGCCAGCGAGCGCGGAAACTCCGTCGCGAGCAAGCCGCGCTCCTGACCCACTGTCTCGCCGACGGAGGACTGTCCCCGACGCGATGCGCTCGCGGCCGCTGCTGCGCTCGTGAGACCGCCACCCTCAACCGACCCAAACACGCACGCCCCCTCTACCTCGGCCGACGCAGCCACGCGTGAGCACGTCAGCGCCCAGACTGAGGAAGCGGCAGAAGTCCCCCATGCACGTTCATCAGTCGGCGGCAAGCTTCCCCAGACAGCACCGTCATCGCGCACCTCCCGCTGCGCCCCGCCGCCACCCTGCATTCGGAAGCACGCGTTCGAATGGCCCGTGTGGAACCCTTCCCCGCGGTGGAACTCGCGGCTGACCAGCGTGGACTGTCGCCCGCTGAATAGAGGAGCCTCACTGGGCACCGCCGCGCGCGGATTCTTCCTGACCCTGCTGGACTCAGATTCGTAAGCCTGCGCAACCAGTTGGACCCAAAAACATTGCGGCGTCTTCGACAGCTGCCACTCCTTCTTCACCTCTCGACAGCCGCATCCTTTGGGGCCCAACCGCAAGCAAGCTACTTCCATCACCTTCCCGCCGCAGCTCCTGTCGTCGACCTTTTTAACTGTTCTCACCGCCTCGCCGTCGCCGCCCAATAGTCGCACTGTCAAGCGCGTGACGTTTGCGCCCTCCTCCACCACCCCGGCACCGCAGCGCCCATGCTCGGCGCGAACGAGCCGCTCCTCATCCTCCATCTGGAACAGCTCACTCACGACAGGCGCTGGCTGATCGTCCAGAAGTCCCCGCGAAACTCGCCTGCGTCTTGTTGGGCCTCACCATTAAACACGCGCGGCAATGCTTCAATTTGATCGGCCCCAGGGCCTTCTGAGGACCCCGTTGGGCTGTCTTGGGGCTCCCTTGGACCTTCTGGATGCCCTCTGCCACCAAATAATGCTTGCACTTGTGAGTTCTGCCCTACGTTTCGAAGAAATTCGATGGGCACGCCGAAGATTCGCCGCCCGTTGCCGCCCATGCCACCTGTGGGGCCGTGCCGAGGATTCGCCGCGTTGCCGCCCGGTGCCGCCCCTTGCCGACTGTGGGGGAATGCCGAGGATTCGCCGCGTTGCCGCGTCGTTGCCGCGTCGTCGCCGCGTCGTTGTCGCCTTGCGCGCTGCGTAGGCACGCCGAGGATCCGCCTCGTTGCCGCCCGCTGCTGCCCGTTGCTGCCTGCGCGGGCACGCCGAGAATTCGCCACGGTGCCGCCCGTTGCCGGGTGCGAGGGGGGGCATGCCGAGGCTCCGCCACGCCGCCGCCCGTTGCCGCACACTGCCGCCTGTTGTGGGTGTGCTGAGCATTCGCCGCGTTGCCGCGCCGTTGCCGCCTCGTCGCCGCGTCGCTGCCGCCTTGCGCGCTGCGTGGGCACGCCGAGGATCCGCCACGATGCCGCCCCTTGCCGCCTCGTCTTGCCGCGTCGCTGCCGCCTCGTCACCAGAGCGTGCTCCGCGCACGGCGGAGGCTCGCCCCGCTGCAGCCCGATGCCGCCCGTGGGGGGATGCCGAAGACTCGCCACGCCGCCGCCCGTGGATGGGCCGAGGATTCGGCACGTTGCCGCCAGCTGCCGCCTGAAGTGATGCGCCGAGGATTCGCCACGTTGCCGCCGAATGCCGACGGTCGCCGACTGGGGGGGGGATACCGAAGACTCGCCACGCTGTCACCCGTTGCCGCCTGTAGGGGTATGCCGAGAATTCGCCTCGCTGCCGCCCGTTGCCGCCCGTGGGGCCATGCCGAGGACTCGCCACGCTGCCGCTGCGTTGCCCTCGGCTGCCGCCCGTGAAGATAATGCCGTGGGTGCGCCACGCTGCTGCCCGTAGCCGCCCGTTGCCGCCTCGTGACCACCTCGTGCCCTGCGTGTGTGTGCCAGCCACGCTGCCGCCCCTTGCCGCCCGTGGGGGTATGCCGGGGACTCGCCACGCTGCTGCCCGTCGCCGCCTGCGGGGGTATGCCGAGGATTCGCCACGTTGCCGCCCGTCGCCGCCTGTGGGGTATGCCGAGGATTCGCCACGTTGCCACCAAGTTGCCGCCTATTGCCACACGTTGCGGTCCGTTGCCGCTTGTAGGGGGTATGCCGAGGATTCGCCACATTGCCGCCCGTTGCCGCCTCGTAATCACCTCTTGCGCTCTGTGGGTATGTCGAGGATTGCCGCCCGTTGCCGCCAGTGGAGGTACGCCAGGGACTCGGTTGCTGTCCGCTGCCGCCCGTTGCCGCCAGCGGGTGTATGCCAGGGACTCGCCACGCTGCTGCCCGTCGCCGCACCTTGCCGCCTACAGGGGTGTGCCGAGGACTCGCGCCACGTTGCCGCCCGTTGCCGCCTGGGGGGGTATGCCGAGGACTCGCCACGTTGCCGCCCGTTGCCGCCCGTAGGGGGTATGCCGAAGACTCGCCACGTTGCCGCCCGATGTCGCCGACTGCCACCCGTTGCCGCTGGGGTATGCCGAGGATGCGCCACGCTGCCGCCCGCTGCCGCCCGAGGATCCGCCGCTCTACCGCCACGTTGCTGCCCGTTGCCGCCTCCTTGCCGCCTCCTTGCCGCTACACCGCGTGGCTCGCACTTCGAAAGTGCAGTAGGTCACTGTTTTGGGTCAGCGCCAACAAACAGATTGAGGTTGATGCGATGCTCCGTGCGCCTTGGGCAGTCACCGAGTCCACCAAATCATAGGAAGACCACTACGAAGAGAATCAATGTGTTGGATCTTGAACGGCTTTGGGGGGGGGCTTTCCCTGGCTCGTTTTGAAACGTCTGAGGGGTGCCTGGGACCCCCAGGGGCTTCCGCGCTGTGAGCCTGCTGGCCAGGTTCGGCAAGGGCGCACAGGAGGCCGGAAAAGGCCTGGGAGACCCTGCCGGGGCTCCCGAAGCGCTCTCGGAGCCGGGGATCCGGCTGCTCCAGTTTCGGGGGGGGGCCAGGTGTTGTGGTTTTCCTGCTCGTCACAGTTTCCCCTCGTCTCTCTTCCTCGGCCTCGTGTTCAGGTGTGCACGCGCGTCCGCCGTGGCTCTCACCTCGTCGGGAGTTCGAGCGGACCGCAGCAGAGAAGGAGGTGGGTGGCGTGAGTGAAGGGGCCCGGGGATACACAAATAAATACACACAAATAAAAATATTCCCTATATTTTCCAATATTTTCTGGGTTTTTGTCTTCCCCCCCACTTCCCATATTTTCCCATATTTTCTGGGGAATCGCCGATTGATTGTGTCTGTGTGTTTCTTTCCCTCCTGAGTGAGGAGGCAGGAAGGAGAGAGGAAGAGCAAGGAGCAAGGAACAGGTCCTGTGAGAGTGAGACGGAGAGAGGACGTGTAGCACGGAGGATGGAGAAGATGGATGGATGGAACAGCCCTTGGAGGACGGAGAAGAGAGGAAGGAAGACAGAAAAGGGAGGAGAGAAGAGGTGGGAGGAGTGCGGAAGGGGATGGATTTTGCATTGCGCTGCTCCCCAAGGCCCTCATAAGACCATACATTCCGCCTACACCTGATATGCAATACCACCCCACCAGTGTCCTGAAGGATCGCAGTCATCCTCGCTCGTATCCCTCCTCGTTGCCCACCAGGGGCCTCGTCCTTAAACTGGAGGCCAGTCCACAAGAAACCTGCCGCAAAAAAAAACACAACCCTGATACCCCAGGACGTCCGTTCATCTTTGGTGTGGGAACGTCACGAGCTCCATTGCAAAAACATCAAAAACTGGGGAACCCAGGACACCCTGGAGGCAAGCAGGGTGAATCTTCCAGGCCGGGCGAAAGGGGGGGATAGCAAAGGGGGGGGGGAGAATCGGCTCACGTAGCTGGTTTTCCCGGCGCCTCCCGGCGCCGGAGGCGGCCATGCATCGAAGAATGGGCCCCTCGGTGGGGCCGAAACCAACTGCATGCAGCAGATCCCGTAACTCGGGGATGGACAGACCCCCCTTTAGTAAAACGTGGTTTCGTGAACACGACCTGAGGCCCAAACCTGGCGGGCGCCAGCCTGGGAAACAACGGCCACGGCGCCATCTCGAGAACCGAAAACGGACAATTCTCACCAGTCGACGTGTCACTGTTGGGGGTTCTGTCCCCCCCCGATTTGGGCGTGGCTTCATGGGGGGGTCATAAATGGGGGGGTCAGAAACGGTCCCCTTTCATGCCCCTTTCGAGCCCCTCCGGACCCCCAGGGGGCTCGTTTAGGTACCGTTTGGGTACCTTTTCGGACCACCCTCGCCACCCCCCCATTTATGACCCCTCCATTACGCAACGCCCAACCGATGAATAACCCCCCCTTTCCCAAGCCCCCCCTCGCATCCGGCACGGTTCTCCGCGTGGGCCCCCGCTGCCCCCGCCCACCGAGGGCCCGCCCGCCCTCCTGCCGCCCCCGCCCGCCCCCCCCCCCCCCTCCCGCGGGGGAGCGCCGCGCGCGCCTCGTCGGGGTCGTCCGCAGGAACGGCGAGCCGTCCGCGTGCAGGTTGAACACCGCCGGGCGGCCTGGCCCCCCCCCCTCGGTGAAGGGAAACTGGGACACACAAATAAATATATTTTCTGGGAATCGCCGATTAATTGTGTCTGTGTGTTTCTTCCCCTCCTGACACTTTGGAAGAAACAGGAAACATTCTCAACAAGAAAAGTTGCAGCAAACAAAATACACAAAGAAGACGTCACCCGACTAATTATGTGTAGCCTATTTTGGGGAGATTCCTGCTGGAGGGACAAGCCCGACGTACCCCCTAGGCCCCTTCACCGGGGCCCAAGAGGCCCGAACGAAGCCTCCGCCAAGCCGCCTCCAGCCCCCCCGAAGGCAGCGCAGCGGTCTTGCCAGCCAGGGGGGGGGGGGGCGATGTTTGAGACCGTCCGCCCTGCACGCGTGAAAACTGCTGGAAGGCCCAAACCGGAAAGTACGCAGGAGTCCAGAGAAAGACACCCTCCTCCTCCTCCTCCTCCTCCTCCTCCTCCTCCTCCCCTCCTCCTCCTCCTCCCCCTCCTCCTCCTCCTCCCCCTCCTCCTCCTCCTCCTCCTCCTCCTCCTCCTCCTCCTCCTCCTCCTCCTCCTCTAGCTGCGACAAAGAGGAGTCATTCCGACCGCAGACGGATGGATGGAAATCTGCCGGCCCTATCGGCGTGTGGGACGTTTTTCCGCTTCCGTCGTCGTCATCGTCGCCGCCGACGCCGTTCCCGCTTTTTCGGTGGGCTCTCCTCCTCAAGCGCGCGAGGCTGAGGGAAATCGAAAAAAGTCGTAGCGCTTCTCTTTGATCCCTCCCACGCCAGGGAGAGGGAAGGGGGCGGGAATGGTCGCCGGGGAGTCGCCAGGGGGGTGGGGGGGGGGGGGGCGGCCCAGGGGTTGTGACACCCACCCGAAGGGGAAACCTTTCGATGTCTTCCCTCCCAGACGCCCCGAACTCACTTCTACCGCGGCTTCGTCAAATAAGGCCCGCCCCAAGAGCGCTCCAAGAGGAGCCCACCGAGGTCCCTCAAGAGGCAAAAACTACGCGTGAGATTTCCCCCCCCATCATTCCCCACCCAAGGACTCCAAACCGGCAATTCGACCACCCCCCCCAGGCCTGGGACGACCCCTGACCGAACGCGCCACGGGGGAGCGGAGGGCTCCAAAGAGGGCCAAGAGGGCACCAAAACGCTCCCCGGACGGTCCCGGAGGGCCACGCGTCGCCGAAACATCGCTCCTTGTCGCCCACGATGGCCTCCAGACGGCCTCCGAAGCTGCCAAGACGCCCCCAAAGGTCCCCAAGATGCGTCCAAAGAGGGTCCCAAGAAACAAAAATCGTCCCATCCCCTTTGACAAAAAGCATGTTTCGCATACTCGCCTTTTCGGCTTTCACAACGTCCAAGACGAGCACAGAAACCTTCAAGATCGCCCCCGGACGCCCGAAGGGGCCCCCAAGAGGGGTCGGAGAAGGTCTAAAAACAGCCCACGAAGCCCCCAAGACAGCCCAAGAGGGCCCCTTGACGGCTCCAAGAGGGAGTCCAGAGGGCACCTTTTAGAGCCTTCAGCCCCAAGACGCACCCAGCCTGCCCCAAGAACACCCCAAGAGGCCCTGAGGGACCCCCAAGAGAACCTCAAAGGCCCCCCAAGAGAACCACAAAGGCCTCCAAGAAGCCCCCAGGAAGCCCCCAAGAGGCCCCCAAGAGCCCCCAAGGAAGCCCAGACGCAATGAAAATCTTAGGGGTGTGCCCTAAAAAACTAAGGGTACGTGTGCGACGATGTTCGGCCCTTTGGGCCCTCGACAAGCCCGGGGACCGTCAAACAACGACTCAACATGATAGCCAGGCCCTACGAAAAATCAGCCATCGTGCCTGCACGACGTGGGCGTGTTAGAATGCCAAGTGCTGCTCTGTAGCGCGTTCTAATTCGGACCCCCCCACCTCTGCTACCAAACTAGCCCATGCATGCCCCCTGTCCCCGAGGCCACGACCCCTCGCATTTTGTTTACATGGGAGCCGCGCTCAGGAGGCCACGATCCCGCGTTGGAAGTTTGTGCGTCCGCCTCCCGAGCTCCCAAGACAGCCCAGACAGGCAACCAAGGCAACCAAAATGGCCCAAGATGCCTCGAGGCGGCCGGGCACCAAGAGGTACGATAACAGCAACGAAGCAACAGCAACGATGTCGAGCGCCGTGTCATGATTCGGACAAGCCTCGTGACATGCAGTCCTGGAGGCGCAGTAGTCTATATATCAGAGAGCGCGTTCCACCGGCGCTTGCCTTGGGAAAATTCGGCGGCGCGTTTCGAACCAGGGGGGGCACCCCCCATCACTCGGCGCCGTCGATCAGAACCAGGGGGACTGCCATCCCCCTAAATCCCCCCCCTCCCGAAACCCACCCACCCACCCCTCCCAAGAGGGGGGGGGTCCAAACACCCCCCCCCACCCTGGCGCCGGCGCCGGCGCTGGCGGCCGCCGTAGCGCCAACGCAGCGACGATCACCAGAGAGAGCCCAGGAAGGGGGGGGGTTGAACCCCCCCCACCGCGCCAGCGCCGGCGCCAGCACCGCTCCGGCGCTGGCGGCGGCCAGCAGCGCCGACGGCGGGGACGCAGCGACGATGACCAGAGAGGGCCCAGAGGCCGCAGAGGGAACACACAAATCGCCATATCGCATGCTCCTTAGACGCCCCCGAGACCCTTCTGACAGGACCTCAAGAGGCATCCATTAGAACTCTGACCCTTTGCCAAAACACAGTGGCGGGAAGAGCCGAAGGCCACACCACCACGGCTACCGCTACCACCACCGCCACCACAGACCACCCTACCACCACCACCACCGCCACCACCACAACCACCACCACAACCACCACAACCCACCATCACCACAACCACCACCACCACCACCACCGAAAACGCCACCACCACCTGCACCACCACAGCCAACCACAACCCACCACAACCACCCCCACCACCGCCACCACCACCACAAACCACCACACCATCACCACCACCGCCACAACCACCACCACCACCACAACCCACCACCAACACCACCACTACAAACCACCACACCACCACCACAACCACCACCACCACCCCAACCACCACCACCACCCACCACCCACCACCCACCACCACCAGCACCACTACCAATAGCACCATCACCACCACCACAAACAACCACGCCACCACCACCACCGCCACCACCACGACCACCACCATCATGAACTCAACCCAACACCGCCACCACCAAGCCACCACACAACCACCAACACCACAGCCACCACCACCACCACAACAGCTCACCCCCACCACCACCACCACCACCACCACCACCACCACCAATACAACAACCCACCACCACTACCACCACCATCACCACAATCTACCACACCACCGCCACAACCACCACCACTACTACTAGCAGCACAACCCACCACCACCACCACCACAACCACCACAAACCACCTCACCACCACCACCACCAACACCGCCACTACCACCACCGCCAGCACCCCCGCCGCCGCCGACAGCCGCCGTCGACGCCGTCGCTGGCCCGAGGAGAGGGAGAGAGGAGAAGTGAGGGGGGGGGGAGTTCGACCCCCCCCCCACACTGCGTCACGGGACGGGGGGGGTGGGTCGAACCCCCCCCCGCCGCCCCTCCATCCAGGGAGAGGGGGGTCGGGTTCCACCCCCTCCCTCCAAGCGACCACAGAACGCGCTCTTTCTTATATGGGGGTCGGCGGATGTGGCGTAAGCCTATAGAATCCACGTCCGGAGGTGACGTGTTGCCGGAGGCAGGTCCGCGGAGGCTACAATGCAACGTATCCTATGTATCCAGTGATTGCATAATTGCTACATATTGTATCGTGTTACATTATTATGTACCCCCCCTAACCCCCCCCAGGGGCCACGCCACTTCCGCCGACCCAAAGCGGCCCCTCCCTCCTGCGCCTCAAAAACCTACCAAAACCTATAAAAATCTATGAGTTGGGCCTGCTGGCCCTCTTGGGGCCCAACAAGACCTCAAGACGGCTCGAGATGGCCCCAAGACGGCCCAAGATGGCCCCAAGACGGCCCAAGATGGCCCCAAGAGGCCCTACAAAGACCCCAAGACGCCCCAAAACGGCCCCCAGAGGACCCCCAAGAGCACCTCCAGAAACCAAAAAGCATTGATTTTCCAATGGTTTTTTGAAGATTTCAGCGTTCCCGCCTATTTCGACTCTCAGAGGTCCAGGACAGCTGAAACAGCCTCCGAAGTGGCCCCCAGAAGGCCCAAAAAGCCCTCAAGAGGGCCCCAAAACGGCCCAAGAGGGCCACCAGACAGCCCCAAGAGGCCCAAGACGGCCCAAGAGTACCCCAATACAGTCTCCGATTGGACCAGACAGCGCAAGAGCGCCTCCAAGACGCCCAGACGGGGCCCCAAGAGGTCCCCAAGAGGCCTCCCAGAGCCACCCAAGAGGCCTCCCAGGCGTCCCCGCGAGGACCCAAGAGGCCCCAAAGAGGCCTCCAAGGGGCCCCCAAGAAATTCCCAAAGGCCCGACAACGACTGGACCGTGCGTGCTCCAGACGTGCACCCCGCGAAGCGAGAGGAATCATAAATTGTCCTTCTAGGTGTCCCATGTTTTTTCTGTTCTCACCTTTTCGAGCTTCCGCCACTTCAAGACGGCTCAAGAGGCCCCCAAGACCGCCACAAGATGGTCCAAGAGACCCCTTAGAGGGCACCAAGATGGCCCAAGAGAGCCGAAAGACGGCCCAAGAGGCGCCCAGGACGGCCTAACAGGGCTCCAAGACGATCCCAAGAGGAGCCAAAGAGGGGCCAAAGAGGGGAGCACGAACCGACGACTCGGGCCTTCCGCCCTAAAAGGCCCCCAAGAGGCCCCAGAAGCCCCCCAAGATGCCCCACGAGGTGAACAAGAGGCCCCCAAGAAGCTCCAAGAGGCCCCCCCAAGAGGACCGAACGAGGTCCAAAGAGGCCCCGAAACAGCCCCCAAGAGACTTGGAAACTGTCCCCAAAAGGACACCGAGAGGTCTCCTACGAGATTCTGCCGAATA